TTTTTTGGAGGAGGGGGGGGGAGGAACAGAAAGGGAAGCAAAGAGAGGGGAGTGCTTCCCTTTCTCTTGTTTGAAAAACATTTTGATAGAAAAGGAAGGATTTGGAGGAACAGATGTATCCTTCCAAAAGCCTCCAAACCTTCATTTTTTTTTAAACTCCCTAAAAAGGAGGATTTGGAGGGGCATGAAATTAAACCTTTTTACTGTACAGACAAAATTGCCCTTAGTTTGACATTTTATCTTGATATATAACACATATAATCATAAAGAAGATGATAAGTTATCATTTCCTTCCACTTCTACAATCCTTAGCCCAACAATGTTTGATAACATACCCTTCCTTTCCTTTCCCTCTTCTTTTAAGCAACCCAAACAGGGTGAAGCTTAACCTCTCCTCATTTTTTCCTCTTCCTCATTTCCTCTCCTTCCCTTCCCCTTATAGTTTCCAAACAAGCAAAACAAGATGCAGTGCATTTAGGCAAATGCCATATCAGTTTGATAACCATGAGGTGGGATTTATTTTTAAAATCTATCGCCAAAATAGGTACCAGCATAAATATGATAAATTGCAATAGTTTCAAGGTCAGGGTCCTCTTACATCCAGCCAAAACCCGAGGATCACCACCCAGAGGATAAAAGTCAATGCCAGCCAACTTTACAAAGCTACTGAAGTTAGCATGAGTTGCCAATCTAACATGATGACCAAACTCCTGAAAGAGAAGTAAACAATCTGTAAATTAAAAATTAATAAAAGAATCAATTCTATGGAAAGTTTGGCTCAAATTAATGATATGTAAACTAATCATCTGCCCATGCATAAAATTATGATATGGATCAAGGCTAAAATACTAAAAAGCCCCTATTCTTTCTCAAATTTCTCATATAAGCCCTTATCCTTCTATTGTACCCAACTGAGCCCTTACAGCATTATTTTTGTTTAATTAAGCCCTTATTTTGCATTAAAACCACTCAAATCTGTTATAGAAATAGGGGTTTAATAAAACAGAATAGTACTTTGAAGGCTTAATTAAACAAAAATAATACTTCAAGGGCGGATTAGACAAAATAGTATTTTAAGGGTTTAATTGACAACAATAGAAAGATAGGGCTTCATTTAGGAAATTTATAAAAGTATAAGGGCTTTTTTAGCATTTTAGGCTGCGGATCAACCATTCTGATTTTGCATATGGGTGATATTAGGCCACAACATCGTTGGGTTTAATAAGCATGGTTCAAGTTCATGCTCTATGACTCACTGATGCATTCTGCATATTTAATTATGAAGTTAATTCTTTCTCACTATATAACATAGAGCAGATTCCAAAACTATGAATCAACAAATCAGTGCAATAAGTTGAATCAACAAATAATGTTGAACATACCTGAAGTCTCTTCGCCATAGCCAGAAAAGTTTGTACATCTCCTCTTGTTCCAACCACAAGGATGGCAATTTTCAACCTTGGGATTGATTTATTGGTTTCATGGAAAGAAGTATCATCAACATCAAAGGGTGCCCCCTCAATAGAGGAAAGTTCTAACAGTTCAGAAGCTACAGGAGAACTTTTAGCTAGATCAACTTCTACCGTCCCATCATTTTGGATCTTGACAAGGTCCACAATCAGTTTTTTCTGCAGAATGAACACCAAAAAAGGCAAGGAATTGTGAACAACAAAAAGAAAAGAGTCGTGTCACAGCAAGAACATAGAGGGCAAGGTGAAAAGGACAAACCCATCGCGTGAGTCTCTCAATAACCTGAAAAAGAGATCACTTCATCAAGACAACCAAATTGCAAAGAGTAACATACTTAAAAAAAAAAAAGAAAAGAAAACACTATAGTTTTAAGATTTCTTAACAAAAAGAAAAGAAAAATCCCTGCCATAATTATCCTAACTGCTCGCTTAGGACTAGAAAGCAAAGCAGTATAATTGTAAATCAGGAGACAGCATCTAACATGCATTTACACAAAAATCTCATATATGCATGTCTCCAATTTTTTTAAAATGATGCCAATCCATATATATGAGCAGGAAAGAAAATGTAAACTACAGTCAGATAAATGTGACTCTGTTATCTACCTTTTCACGCTCTGAGAGTCTATCTAGTTTTAGATCATGTCTTGCAGCCTTCTTCTCCATCATTGACCTAGAGAATGGAATCTCACTGTCATCTATTAACAGGTTTCCGTGAGCACCAACTGGTTCAGAGATACAATGATCCAAGCCTTCAAGAGAAAATGATTTGGCATCAGATCATTAAAGTTTACAGCATTAAAAAAAAAAAAAAAAAAAAAAAAACTTTACTCTTTCACACCAATTAGCCTAAAATTACATATGAATCACATTCACAGTGACCCCTCTGCATAAAACTACATGTCTGTCTCTAGAAAATTTATAAAGGTTTAACTAAAGTTTGTTCATGTTGTTTATTTTCCCACGGAACAGGGGTAATGGCATTATATTACAGATATTCCTCAATAAAAGGAAATCATTTCTCAAAACGTATAGTGATATTTATACCCATTTGAATAATGCTTAAGTTATTCAAGAAAAAGTGAAAGTTTTGTTCTTCACTTGTTTTTTCCATTTTTTAAGTTCAAAGTAACTTGAAATGCTTTCCTTGCCACATATTCATCCTGTCAGTAAATTAAATAAACATCTTGCTTATACTTTCAAGTTTCCATGCTTGTTAATTAGCATATTCAGCCAATATGGTTTATTTTCATAGATAGCACAAAAATATCAAGTAGAAGGCAGATAGGTTCCACCCTACGTCTCAAAGTCCCATGGAGACATTAAAATAATATAACCATGATAACATGGAACAGAAGCAATAGGAAGTTTATTCTTGAAGTTGAAGATGATAAATAAATCTCAATTTCCTAGTAGAATTGGCAAGGTACAACTCACACCAACGAGGAAAAGAAATCAGGAATTGGAAAATACTAACCTCTACGGGGAGAAGACGTGACACTCAATTCTTTCGTCTGGGAAATCTCTAGAACCGATGACTTCCGCTCTGAACTTGACTTCTGATTCTCTTCCTCGACATAGGAACTTGAAAAGGATTGCTCATCAGAATACCTATACTCCACTGTCACTGATTCATCTACATCATCTGTCTGTTCACAGTCCTCGAGCACTCCCTTACTTCTGCCATCGCCAACATTTTCCTCTTGTAAATCTATCAGTGGATTATTAACCCCATTGCTCCCCATTGTATCCATCCAATGCAAAGCTTCAAGTGCTAAACCCCCACCAAACCTTCTAATTCCCCAAATGTGAAAGAACCAAATTCACAACTAAGACCCAACTGTCCACAACTTCAAAGACTTCAAATTTAGTTGAATGACTAAAAACTTAATCACTAAGCAAAGCCAAGTTGACCCGAAAAGTCTCCAAACAACAATTCCCACATATCCAAATCCTCATATTTTCCAAACCTTTACGATGCAAAACCAAAAACATAGTAAAAACCCAGAACTAGAAAATCGTAAAGAAACATCCCATTAGATCCAGAACCTTGAAAAGACCCAAATTTATAAAGGAAATTGCCAGCGCAGACAAGTAAAGAATAAGTAGTCGACGTCAAAGTCAAAGAAAATACGAAAGATATCAGGTCTTGGCTGTTAAAATCAAAAAATACAATTTGAACAGACAAAAGGGAAAAATTAAAAGCAAGAAAAGAAACAAAATGAGGAAAGAAGGAAGCAACCACCAGTCAAATTAACAAAACCATTAGAACTGTTAGGTGAACAAGAATGACAAACCGTTTGTAAAGCAGAGTAATTATTGATTGGCATTGGAAAGAGAGAAAGAGAGAAGAGAGAAGTTGAATTGGAGTGGGAGAGACTCACTGTCGTGTAATAAGAAGAAACTTCAGTCTGTCTGGCCTGGTCTCAACTCTGCTGACAAACTAATTTACTGAGATCGTTGACCGCTAAGAGAAGTATTAAGGAATCCAAAAATAATTTATTCGTGAAATCAAATATTAAATTTTTATGTTAAAATTTATATTATCAATAATTAATTTCGTCTCCTCTCATTTTCTTTTTTTTTTAAATGTCTCAAAATATAATTCTTTTTGTAATTTTAAAATCTAACCGTAATAATAATACTCTTATTTTTAAAATTTTCAATTAATTTCCAGAATAAAATATTATGAAGGGGAAAGGAAAATGATTTTTTTGTGTGAATTTTATAAAAGCGTATGGGTATGGATCAGAGTTGCGGTTTTCAAGGTGTTGAAATATGAAATATTATTTTATTAAATGAAAATTAATTTAATATATAAATTAAAGACTCTGACCAATGAATGGGGGCCTGGCCCCACCCGATCTTTCTCTCTCATTTTTTTAATTTTTTTCTCTAAAGATTATTAAAAAACAAAAAGATTGAGCTGGAAATTACGTAACAAGATCGCAACGGACAGGAATGTGACACCGCATTACCAAACTTCCGCAACGGTAGGCACAAACGACGCTCACGTCATGATTTACAACGACATCGCGTCTCTTGGAACAGCCGTATAGCATGGAAAGTTGATGTTTGTCGAACAGCCTTATAATATAGGATTGCTCATAATCAATTAAATAAACAAAGAGAAAGCTGTATGTAAATTTCTAGTTTTAAGTCTCTTCAGGCTTTGCTTTGTGGGATTAGGTATTAGTCTTATCTTCTGCAGGTGTCTAGTCTTAAGGACTTCTTTTTTCTGGATTAATCTTTAGGGATTGTTAGTTAAAGTTTCCAATGATATATTGGTCGGGGTAGGGGACTGTGTAGCATAAACATGGACAATGCAGATGAGTTAAAAGGGCTTTTAGAGAAACTTGGTACTCAATAAGGATGAGAGAGAAGGGATCAGAGTCGATGGGGTAAAAGAAACTGAAGATTCAACCAAAAGTCAGAACTGGTTAGTGGTAAAACTATTTAAAAATCGCTCTTTCAACAAAGATGCAATGATCAGCACGTTAAGGGTGGTCTGGAAATTATCAAAAGAAGTTTTTATCACAGTTTTGAATACCAACCTATTCCTTTTCAAATTTGCCACACTAAAAGACAAGCAAAGGGTGATGAAGGGTTCACCGTGGTCTTTTTAATAAGAACATTGTGTTGTTTCAGAACTATGATGGGAATCTAAGTTTAACCGATTATGTCTTCAATAGAGCTAGCTTCTGGGTAAAAGTATGCGGGCTGACGCTGAACATGATGAATACTGAAATGCCAGAAAAAATACGCTCAAAAATAAGATGTTTTCTGGGGGCAGATAAAAACACTTCAACTCAGGGAAGTGGAAGTTTTATTCGTTTGAGGGTTGTTATTGACATATGATTTCGAAGCCTCTAACAAAGTTTGTGACATTGGCTGGCTCTGCCAAAAGAAGAGATGTGATACGGGGAAGACTGAGGTATGAAAGGTTAACCATTTTCTGTTATAGATGCGGGTTGCTTGGACACAGTGAGGTTGAATGCAAATTAGATGCTGGAAGGGAAGGCGAAGATGATATTGAACGACAATATGGGGACTGGTTATGGGTCTCCCCACCGAAGAGAGGATACATGGCCTTCACAGTCCCATACTATAGATACAACAACCTCCTAAGCTATGACCAGGAGGCGAAGAAAGGGGTAGCTCAGAGGCAGGCGGCAGGAAACCAAATAGAAGTTACAAAAGGAAGATCCTATAATTTCTGTGGAACCACGAGATAATAGAGTTGTGTTTTTTAATAATAGCAGATCATAAGAGATCATACAGAATAAACAGACTGCCGGTATTTTGGGGTCAACCATGGTCTGTAATCAAGCTAGCATGGAGAGGAAAGAAATCAAGGAATTTAATGGAGGAAAATCGGGTGAGGAAACATCCATACAAGGATGCAAGGATGCGGCGAATGAGGGTATGTTCTCACTGAAACTTAACATGAGCAAAGCTTATGATAGGGTTGAATGGAATTCTTTAAAAGGGATGACTGGTAAGATAGGCTTCTATTCACGGTGGGTGGATATTATTGTGAACTGTGTTACTACTGTTTCTTATTCTATTGTGGTTAATCGATGCATAACTGATTCTTTCAACCTGAAAGAGGACCTTCGCCAAGGGGACTCATTATCTCTTTACCTTTTCCTGATCTGTTCTGAAGGTCTTTCAGCACTTTTAGCAAAAAATCAACGCAAAGGTTTCTTGCTAGGAATACAAGCAAGCCAATCTGGACCTAGAGTTACTCACCTATTTTTCGCTGATGACAGCTTTCCTTTTACCAGTGCAAATAGGAGCGAAAGCGAAAGGGTGAAGCACGTGCTACAGCGATACGAAGATAGCTCTGGCCAAACAATTAATTTCGATAAGTCCGCACTGTATTTCAGTAGTAACACAACAGAGACTCAACAAGAAGAGATTAAAGAAGCCTTTGGGGTTCAAATCACTTCCAAACCAGAGAAATATTTAGGGTTGCCTTCCATGGTAGGAAGAGACAGGAAACGGGCATTCAGAGGGTTGAAAGACAGGATAAGCTCAAGATTAGCAAGCTGGTCGAACAAAACTCTCTCATTGGACGGGAAAGAGGTATTTATTAAACAATAATACAAGCCATCTCGTCCTACACAATGAGCTGTTTTAGGTTGCCAATAACTAAGTGCAATGAAATAAATAGTGCAACCAGCAACTATTGGTGGAGGCATGGAAATGCGAGGACAGGTATCAACTGGATGAGTTAGAAACGGATGTGCAATCCAAAAACAAAGGGGGGAATGGGATTTAGGGATATGGCTAAGTTCAATTAGACAATGTTAGCAAAACAAGGTTGGAAATTGTTGACAAACACAAACAAGTTGGCCTATAGAGTACTGAAAGCAAAGGACTTCCCCAATAGATCCTTATTGGAATCTAAACTGGGTGGCAATCCCTCACTGACGTGGAGGAGCATTTTGGAAACAAAATGTGTTGTGGAACAAGGAGTTCGATGGAGGGTGGGAAACGGCAAAACCATTCGAACCCGGAAAGATATATGGCTGCCATCTAATCACAGGTGCCTACCCGATGCTACAAGGGATGAGTGGGATGAGAACTGCCATGTAAGTGATTTCATAGATGAAAATACCATGTAGTGGAAAATGAAGCTAGTCCAAAAACACTTTCTCTGCTGATGTGGCAGAGATAATAAGCACAATATCATTGAATAGAATTGGCTCTCCAGACGTGATGGTATGGCATTTCAATAATAGCGGGAGGTACAAGGTTAAAAGAGGATATTGGTTATTCTGCAATGATGGTGATACGACGTCAGGAATAAGGGTCACGGTATACAAGTACAGTGGAAGAAAATATGGAAAGCAAAGGTGCCGAGCAAGATCAAAATACCTCTATGGAAAGCCTCTCATGGGTACTTGCCCGTAACACACACCTTGGCGAGAAGGAAAATGCAAGTTGACAGTGTGTGTTTCAGATGCAATCAAACAGAAGAAACCATCCAGCATGCTTTGAGGATGTGTCCAAAAACGCGTGAAGTCTGGCAACAGGTCCATTTTAATTGGGACATGCTCACAGCAGAGGAAGAAGACGGGGAGTGGATATTGAAGGCTATAAACACGTTGAATCATAAACAACTCCAACATTAAGCAGTAACGATTTGGGCAATCTGGATTGAGAGGAACAAAGAACTGCATGGAGAAGGAGGAAGAGAAGCATCAGTGGTGGCAACCTTCATTATGCAGTATATAGATGATTATAACAAAGCACATGCAGCTAAAAGCAATGCACCACAACTGGATACGGCGACTTGGAAAGCTCCTTTAAGGGGTAATTACCAGCTAAACTTTGATGGGGCCTTTGATAAGGAAAGGAAGAAGGAAAGGAAAGGTATCATTGCACGAAACTCAGGGGGCGATGTGATGGGAGCAATATCGGCTGCAGTAAACAAAGTTGTGGATCCATTTATGGTGGAAATTATAGCAGCAACAAAGACGGTCGAGTTTGTAGTAAATTTGGGTCTTCAATGCGTGGAGATTCAGAGGGATGCTTTAAAAATAATTAAAAAACTGAAGTCGACTGAACCAAACCTATCCACTCTAGGAGTCATAATTGAAGAAGCCAGGAGCTGTGCTAGACTTTTAGCAAGATGTTGTTTCTTGCATACCAGCAGAAGTGGAAACAATGAAGCACATATATTAGCTAAACATGGGCACACTGTTACTGAGGATAGGTATTGGATTGATGAATGCCCTGAAATCCTCAATAACAATTCCATTGTTACTGATATTTCATAAATGAAAAGAAGAAATTTGGTTCAAAAAGTAAAAAAACAAAAAGAAAGCTTTCATAACAAAAACAAAGATAATATTGTTTGAAAAGAATAATTTAGGAATCACGTTTTAAAATTTCAATTTAGAAATTTGAGATATGAATATTGAGATAAAAGAATATGGTTTATGGAATAGAAAAGTATTTAATTGCATTGTGAAATCTAAAACCTAGTAAATGAATCTTATATATATAAAGATTTATACTTTGTAACTTTTAATTGCATCTATTTTATCTATTATTAATAAATGAAAGGTTATCATTTCATTAATGAGTTAACTTAAAATTATAAAAAATTCATAAAAATTAATATCCAAAATTAAAAAAATGTATATTATAAAAATTTATGATATTTATTTTCAAAATTAATTTTGTAAGCTTATAAATTTACTCATTAATAAAATAATATTCTTTCTTTTTCTTATAATGGATAAAAATATATATAGACTTTAAATATTAATGAAATGATAACATATCATTTACTAAAAATAGATCAAAGATATACATTTTTAATCCATCAAATATAAAATCATAAATCCACAAGAGTACTTCTTCAATTATTCTAAGAAAAAATCACTAATTATTTGGAATATTACACTCTACAAGAAGCTTGTGTAACTACTCCCTCGATTTTTCTGTAAAAGATGTTGTCATTTTCTTGATTACCAATGCCCTTGCTTGATTGATTATGGCAATTAGGCACAAATAGACGTGCTCTTCAAGCTTCTTCCACCTATTTCCTCAAACCAACATTGCTCTTCTTTAGCTTATTCACTACTTGCAAATAAAATTTATCTTTTATTCCACTCCAAACAAATTTGTATCATTGCTTGTTGTGTTTCAACTTCATCATATGGCCTAGTATAAACGGGTTCTTTGTTGATGTAAGGAAGCGTTGCAAACAAGTAAAACAAGATATGCCAGGAGACGATAAAGAGAAAGAATAGAGCAAACCCTGAAGTATTAAGTGCATTGATATATAGTGGTAGATGGTGATAGGTGGTAAAGTAAGGCTGAGTAGAGAAAAAAATAAAGCTCAGAGAAGAATTTAGGAAGAAAGAATTATAGAGAGGGTTTGAGAAATCTACCAAGTCCTAAAAGTCCCCTAATAAACTATGAAAACTCCTATATATAGGTTTCAAGAATAGTAGTTAATATCTTAAGTAAAATTGATAGTTACAAAATGTGTTAAATATGAATAATAGTCAATAATAGAGGAATTGGCTATTGTAAAAGGTGTTAATGTATTAGTTAATGAAAGTTTAATTAGCTTTTGATGATAGGTGTAGTAAACATAAAAGTTCACTATCTGTTTTGAAAGAAAAAGGAAAAGCACTCATATTTTTAAAAAATGTTAAGAGAAAACATCTTAACTATCTCTATATTTGATCCACCGAGCTAAACTTTTCGAAACATCCCAATAATGAAATTAACCCATGAACTTTGCCATATTCCAAGGTTATTTTCACTTCTTCTTTCAGCGAAGTAACATTCAATGAAGCATCTTTTATGGAATCACTATTAGTGAAGCAATTTTTAATGAAAGAGTTTTTAATAAAGGTGTTGGTATTGTTTTTTAAGGAAGTTATTTCGAGAACAGCTGTTTGGTGAAAGTGTTATTGAAAGTGTTATTCTATAAAGCAGTTGTTCCTTGAATAATTATAACATGAATAAGTGATTCTTTGAATAGTTGCTTCGTGAACAATTGTTCTGTAAAAGAATTTTTCCATGAATAACTATTCCATAAAATAACCTTCACTAAAACAACCTTATCACATTTTTTTATTTATTCTCAACTTTAACAACTTTAGAGAATTTTATAAGAATAGAATATTAGTAATCAAAATCAAGTATCTACATTTTACCTCCTGTATGAGAACTCTTAATATAAGGAGTTCTCATGCACTAGTATAATGAAAAGAGAAAAAGTAAAAATATATATGAAAATAAAATATATTTGTTCTTGTAGTTTAAAGATGTATGATATAAGTTTCATGAAAAGAAAAAAAATATAAATATATATGTTTTTGTGATTGTATATATGTGGATTCATTGCCCCCTATATGAAAATTGTTTAATGTAAATCAAAAAATGTCTCATACATAAAATAAGCAAATTTTAATGTTGCAAATCAAAGAGTTACTTGTTAAATAGGGGATGTATAAATGTGTGTTTCCCAAAAAAAAAAAAAAAAAAGTAATGAAAGTGTTTTCATAGAGAAAATAAGTGAACAAGTAGTGGAAATGTTTCTTTAAAAAAAAAAAAAGAGAGAATAAATAATAAAAATGTTTCCCCCAAAAAAAGAGAACAAGTAATGAGAGTATTTCTTTAAAAAATAGAAGAAATTAAAAAGAATAGATAATTGTTGTGTTTCCCTAAAAAATAAAAAAAATTATAAAAAAGAATAGGTAAGCGAGTATTTCCCTAAAAAATAGAAGAAATATTAAAAATATAAGTAAAAGAGTGTTTTCCTAAAAAAAATAGAAGAAATATTAAAAGGAAAAAATAAGGGAGCTTTCCTTAAAAAATAGAAAAAATATTAAAAAGAATAGGTAATGGAGTGTCTCACTTTAAAATAGAAAAATTATTAAAAGAAATAAGTTATGGAGTGTTTCTCTAAAAAAAATAGGAAAATTATTAAAAGAAATAGATAAGGAAGAGTTTCCCTAAAAAATAGTAAAATTAGTAATAAGAGTGTTTCTTTTAAAAAATAGAAGAGAATAAGTACTGTGAGTGTTTCTCTAAAAAATAGAATAATAATTAATAGGAATGTTTCTTTTAAAATAGAAGAATAAGTAATGTGAGTGTTTCTCTAAAAAATAGAATAATAATTAATAGGAATGTTTTCTTTTAAAATAGAAGAATAAGTAATGAGAATGTTTACTTAGGAGAACAAGTAAAATGAATACATTTTAAAAAAATAGTAAAACAAGTAATGGAAATAGTTTCCTTAAAAAAATAAAAGAATAAGTCATGAGAATACTTCCTCTATAAGAATAGGAGAACAAATATTATAAAATAAATAAAGTATTGTTTAGGAATATAAACAATGAACATCAATTTTTTTAAAAAAATCAAGATAGCTAAAAGCCACCTGATAAATTGAATCATTTTTTTTTAAGAATAGTTCTACTCATGAACTATTTCTTAAGATGATATGCTAGCAATTTGAAATTTATTTTTTTATAACGAGAAGAGTTTCATAGAGTAATATATGAGAATCATTTTTTAATTAAAAATTTTTCATGGGAAACACTTATTAAAAATGTGTTCTAGGAATCTTTTTAAAGAAAAATATTTTTTGAATGATGGAACATATTTCTTGAAACAATATAGAAAGAGTTCTTATAAGAAAAAAATGTAGGTACATCATAATTTTTTTTAAATATATTTTAGAGAGTGCATAGGAAGTGGCTTTTGAAGTAGCATGTAGAAATTTCTCTTTTATTTTTTTTTTTTAAGAATGTATGTAACAAACGTTTCTTAGGATAATGTAATGTTTTTTAGCTATTGCACAAAAAGTTTTTATCAATAAAAGTATGCAAGAGATTTCAATTGTCAATTGATTTCTTTTGTAAGAACTTTAATACAAGAGTAAAGTAGTAGCAATAAGAAAGTAATACAGAAGACTTTAGTGGTCAATTTTTTTTTGAAGTTCTTATATATAAGATAATGCAGTAGTAGTAGAAAATAATATATCAATCAACTTTATTTAAAAAAAAAACTTGTATATGAGAGTAGCATGAAACTTTCTCTTTTTAGAAAAGTGACAAAAGAAACTTAAGAAATCACAACATCAAACTTTTGT